GGGTCGGACCTGGGGCAAAGCCCGGGTTTGTTTAGGACAGGCTCTGTCCCAGGTGCAGTGACACTCACCTGCTCCCTGTAGGGACTTCAGTGAAGGTAGCAGGGAAAAGGAGACAAGCAAAGACTTTGTCCTGTGTTTAAAATGCAAAAAAGAAAGAGCAAAGCCCATCACACCCTCTGCAGCTGGTGAGTGACGTGCTCTCTGCTCTCAGGTCTCAGAAGACAAGCCGCTGTGGCCATCAGCCAGGAGCTGAGCAGACTCACCTGCCGCGGGACGGGACCCAGCGCCTGGATTAACCAGGTTCGCAGAAGAAGCTCCTTGCTCAGTAAGTGACCAGCAGACAGCGGGGTCTGGCCCTTGCTGCCGGGTGGGTGGTGACTGTCACAGGCTCAGGAGAGTGGCTGGAGGAAACCCTGCCTGTGGGCAGCCTGTGCTTTTGGTTAACAAATGGCAAAGGCAGGCAGGTGGCAGGAATTGAGGTTACATCCCCAGCCCCTGGGCATGGAGAAGTGTATTTCATGTAGATGAAGTCAACTGTGTGATGTTCCTACACTCACCCCTGCTTTGTCTGATCCCGTGCAGGCTCGAGGCTGGAGGAGAAACCCTTCAGTGAGATGGAAATGTCTTACATCAAGCAAGGAGAGGAAGCCCTCCAGAAATCACTCAGCATCCTCGGGGACCAGGACGGCTGGAAGACAGAGACAGTGGTGGTAGGTGCTCTGGATCCTCCTGTATCCAAACCCTGGGGAGGTTTAGATTGGATCTGAGGAAAAACTTCACCAAAAGGGCAGTCAGGCATTGGAACAGGCTGCCCAGGGAGGTGGTGGAGTCACCTTCCCTGGTGGGATTTAAAAGTTGAGTAGATGAGGTGCTCAGGGACATGGTTTAGCGGTGGAATTGGCAGTGTTGAGTTTATGGTTGGACTCAATGATCTTAAAGGTCTTTTCCAACCACAACGATTCTGTGATTCTAAATATTTGTGATATTAATTCTGCTTTCCCCTCTCCAGGGTAACGGAGATAAAGTGCTGAGCAAGGTGCTCCCGGATGTGGGCAAGGTGTTCCGACTTGAGGTGGTGGTGGACCAGCCCCTGGACGCGGTGTACGGTGAGCTGGTGGACAACATGGAGCAGATGGGAGACTGGAACCCCAATGTCAAAGAAGTCAAGGTAGGGATGTGTGTGTCAGACCTGTCTCAGCCCGGGGTTCACACACACACACACACACACACACACACACACGCTGCTCCCAGTGGCGTCAGAGCGGCCAGGGAATCGTTTTGCCCCTCGCAGGGGGTTTCTCCGCTTGTTCTTTGGGAACGGAGAAGCCAGACTTTGTCTTGTCCACTTCCTACTGCAGATGTGGAGCTTGTTCGGCAGTAACCGTATTGCTGCCGCAGCAGAAATGAGTCTGTCGTGCTTTGTGTGACTCATTAAACACCCTTGGACTTTATTACTAAATAAATAAATATTTATTATTAAATGATTATTCTGTAGGCAGCGCACTTTGACTTCACTGGGAGGTAGCAGAGCAGTTCTCTCGTTAAATTGGTATTGTTACTGGAGGAGAATTAGCACCAGTACCCCAAGGGGCAGGGAAGAGCATTTTGCTTTTCCACAGCTTGTTTGGAATAGAATCATAGATTGGTTTGGGTTGGAAGGGACCTTAAAGCTCATCCAGTTCCAACCCCCCTGCCATGAGCAGGGACACCTTCCACTAGACCAGGTTGCTCAAAGCCTCATCCAACCTGGCCTTCAACACTTCCAGGGAGGAGCAGCCACAGCTTCCTTGGGCAATCTGTTCCAGTGTCTGACCACCCTCACAGTGAAGAACTTCTTCCTAATATCTCATCTAAACCTCCCCTCTTTCAGCTTAAACCCATTTCCCCTTGTTCTGTCATTAACTACCCTTATGAAAAGTCCTTCCCCAGCTTTCTTGTAGCCCCTTCAGGTACTGGGAGGCTGCTACAAGATCTCCCCGGAGCCTTCTCTTTTTCAGGCTGAATAAGAAAAGCATGAGGAGGATCTTTCCCTTTTTTCAGATACTGAAAACTAATGTTCTGTATTCTGGGATGAAGCAGATTATTTGCAGTTTTTTTCTCACTATAAACACGGACTTTTATGTAAGAGCAGCTCTTTGACCAGGCAGAAATCCCAGCCAAATTCACATCCAAATTTCAGCCATGTGAAATCCAAGCTCGCTTTTTGCTATGTTTGCAGTAAATACCTCAAATTAATGTTTTAATTCTCAACCATCCAGATTCTGCAGAAGATTGGAAAGGACACGGTGATCACCCACGAGAAGGCGGCCGCTACCCCCGGTAACATCGTGGGACCGCGGGACTTTGTCAGCGTCCGGTGCGCCAAGAGACGCGGCTCCACCTGCGTCCTGGCCGGCATGTCCACGACATACGGAGCCATGCCGGAGCAGGAAGGGTTTGTGAGGTAAATCCCACACACGCTTCCAGGGTGTTTCATCAATCGGAGCCTCACAGGAGCTTTTAGGATGGGCTCAGAGTAATTAGGTTTGTCTCAGACACAGGAGCTGCTCAGGGAACTGCGGTTCACAAAGCGCTTCAGCCTGGCTGTCATTTTTGAGGTGAGTTTGATGTTTTCTAACAAACACGTGTGTTCTGTTCCCTTACAGAGCTGAGAATGGTCCCACCTGCATGATCCTGCGCCCGCTGGCCGGGAGCCCTGCGCAGACCAAGCTGACGTGGCTCCTCAGCATTGACCTGAAGGTAAGTCAGTTTTGCAGCAAACATTTCAAAGCAGAAGCAAGACTTTGCAGTCGAGGCAAGTCCCACTCCTGGGCTGTCATCTGCTCCTCTCCAGGGCTGGCTACCGAAGACCATCATCAACCAGGTCCTGTCCCAGACACAGGTCGACTTTGCCAACCACCTTCGGGAGCGCCTGGCCCGGACGGTGGCCGTGAGCTGCTGACACCACAGACTCTGTAACCGTGTAATGCTTTGTGGGGGGTACAGTAGGGAATCTGGTCAGACACACTAGTTAGTTACAGCCCGTGCTAATTAGACAAGGCTTTTATTAATTAGTGGTGCTATTAAAGCTTTATTTATTGAAACGAATTGGGTAGGGAGGTCGGAGGGGCTTGGTTGGGCCAGCACGTGCTCTGTGTGAACACAGGACCAAGAATTGGGGCTGAAGTCCTGCATTTGCCCCACTGAGCACGTGCTGGCCCAGCCCGGCCCCCGTCACCTCCCTCCCAACAAATAAATACATAAAGCATTAATTAGCGGTGACTATTATTAAAGGTCTTGGCTAATTAGTCATGAGGGAGGGGCCA